GCTGTTCCCCTCGGTTTTCGACGCCGGACCACCCGGAAAGCAACTGAGCGGTCGAACGGTGGAACAGAGTATTCAAAAACATGCTATTTCATGTGATATCTGAACAGGGGCGACAATGGGACAAGTTCGTGCCACTTCTACTGTGGGCATATAGAGAAGTTCCTTACGACACAACGGGCGTGTCCTCGTTCAGGATGATGTACGGCAGAAAACCCGTCGGTCCGCTCGCGATCCTACAGAGGGCTTAGACGGGAGAACAGGAAATGCCCGCGACAGTGGCAGACAAGCCGGCGGAGTATATGCGAAAACTGAAGCAACAGTTGGAGATAGCCGCGGAAGCTGCTAACGTGACCGCAACTAAACAGCAGAGGGCGTACGCGACGCAATACAACCTTCGTGCGAAAGAAAAGGAGTTTCAACTTGGGGAGCAGGTGCTTGTTTTTGATAGCAACCGTTCCGGTAAGATGCAACCGAAATGGGTAGGTCCGTGCAGGATCACAGGAAAGTACCGACAACACTTCTATTACTTAGAGACGCCGGCGGGTAAGCGTACGCTAGTGCACGCCAACCACCTGCGCCCGTACACGTGCCGTGTCGGTGGCATTGGTGTCATATTCCATGACGACCACGAGTTCGGGGAGGCAGAATACGTGCGGCGTCCTGTCACCTCGCACGACAGAGCATCTATCCTACCGGCGGGTAGCTTGGCTCATTTGCAGCCCCCTGAGAGAGTGTTAGTACGGGAGGTGTTTGAACGCCATGCGGCCTTATTTAGCAGAGAAGTGGGGATCGCGAGAGTTGGCGAACATAAGATAAGGCTTATTGAAGGGGCCACACCGAAACGTAGCCGCCCTTACCGCATGCCAGTGGCCTTGAAGGACGAGGTTTCAAAACAGATAGCGGAACTGCTCGAGCTTGGTTTAATATACCGGTGCGAAAGTCCTTTTGCTCACCCCCTTGTGTGCGACCCAAAGAAAGATGGCACGGTGCGCCTGTGTGTCGATTACAGAAGCTTAAATGCCATAACCGAACCAGACGCATTCCCGATGGGATTCCCGCAAGAATTGATTATAAATGTAGGTCAGGCTAGTTATATAACTCTCATTGATCTCCGACGAGGCTACTGGCAAGTTCCCTTAGCGGAGGGTCGCTGCGCATGACCGCGTTCGGGTCGCACCTTGGTCAGTTTGCTTGGAGGGTAATGCCGTTTGGGCTCAGGAACGCGGCAGCCAGCTTTCAGCGGAGTATGAACCAGCTGTTAGCACCCCATGAGGGGTATGCCTGTGCCTACTTGGACGACATTGCGGTTTTCAGTGGGTCCCTACAGGAGCACGTCCAGCACCTCCACGCTGTGTTCTCCGCCCTAAGGTCCGTAGGTCTAGTAGCTAACATGAAAAAATGCTAGGTGGCGTGCGCGTCTATCTGCTACCTCGGACATATTGTGGGATCGGGAAAGCACGGTCCGGACCCCAGCAAGCTCGCGGCTATTGAGGGGCTGCAAATACCCCAGAATAAAAAAGAGTTAAGGAGTGTTCTAGGTCTGTGCGGGTATTACCGGGGTCACGTAACCAATTTTGCTGGCATTGCCAAGCCCCTTACCCAATTGACAGCTAAACATGTTCCTAACCACATCCCTTGGACGCCCGAGGCCGACGAGGCATTTGCAAAACTCAAGGGTGCCCTGTGCACCGCTGTTGAATTACCCACTCCAGACATTCACAAGCCGTTTTGGCTTTTTACGGACGCTTCCGCTATCGCTGTGGGAGCTTGTTTGGCCCAAATGGCCGATGACGGTACTGAGTGCCCGATTGCTTTTGCCAGTCATCGCTTCATGCCTGCCCAGATGCAATGGTCTACGATAGAGCGCGAGGCGTTTGGTGTCATTTGGGGACTCTAAAGGTTGGTGCACACCGGCGACTAGCCGCGGTCGCGCGACCATTTGCGACTGGCGACCAAACTGCGAGCGACGTTCACACCGGCAAGGATTCATGCGAGCGACCGGAAGTCGCAAACCCGGAGAGTCACGTACAGATCTCGTTATCAACGAGAACTTGGGCGACCGGCGACGATCAGCTGATCAGATACGGAGCCCGCTGAGCGCGATGCGTTTGTTTTTGACGGCTGTGTTTGCGTAGCGTTCTCCCGGCAGCATCATAGACTTCGAGTCGAGTGATGAAGAAGAGGTTGTGGCGGTGCTGATGTGCTCAGCCAACGTGTCAGCACAAAAGCCTTCAAAGCAAGCAAGGCGATGGTGGGTGAGACCGTCCCTTCGCTCGCGAGAAGTGGCCGTCCACACAGGGCGTCTGCTCTTGCGCTCGCACGACGAGGAGAATTTCCGAGAGTAAGTTTATGGTTGTTTTACGCGCTTATAAGATAGTGCATAACATGTTATCTCATTCTATTTTTGGTAGTTAGCTTCATGCGGATGCCGCCACGAACGTTCGATGCTGTGCTCGAACTGCTGCGCCCCGCAATATCCAAGCAGGACACAAACCACCGGCTTACAATTTCGGCGCACGACTGCCTGGCCATGACCATTAGGTAAGAGCGTGTGGTTTGAAGATTAATATGCTGTGGCTTGCGGCTGCGCTTCGCTCGTAAGGAAGTTTTGCTTGGGCGGATAGAACGAATTGCATTTATGACGTATGCGGGCTCGATGATGCAGTCGTTACGGCGGCCGGCAGTTTACGCGTAGGTGACGGGTTTGATTACGGCCGCATCGATCGCCTTTAGGTGGAGGCGAAATGCACTTAAGTTGGCGCGTTTGTTGCGCACGTACGTTAAGAATCTCAGGTGGTGAATATTTCAAAACCATCTGTTGTTGCTTATTGCGTAATCAGTACGTGGTTTCCGCTTGTAAAATCCCAGAAAATGGGATTCTGCGCTACACAATGACATTACATTGTGGACCGGTCAGTTCCCGTTTTCTGTTATCCTGATGCACAGTTACTATATAGAACGCAATTATTAATGATGTTATAAAATAAGTGAAACACAATCCTAAGCTTTGCGAGTACAATTATGCACAAATTGTTAGGACAAATTGATGTGCTGTTCGAGGCACTCAAAGAGTATTCATGCCAAAAATATTTTTCAGCATCGGGGAGGGAGGAGGTTCAACCAACCACCCTTTATGTATCTGCATGCACGACGGTGTGTGTTTGCACAAGTACACATGCGAAATTTCTCACAAACATAGGCAGTGTTTAACCCCTGCACCTTGCTACAATTATACGTATGTTCTGTTAAAATGACAGTGACCCAATACACTGTGGACAGTAGCGCAGTGGCAAAACGTATTGTGGACGGTAGCACATTGTGTGAAAGCAATTTGAACAATTGACTTGAGTGATGTACGTTTTGCGAAATAGGTTCTCCTTGAATTTACAGCTTTTCAGAAATCCATGCTAAGGAAATTGCTACAGGTACATTTAGGTTGCCCTTCTTCAACCTGAGTGATATGAGCACGTACGCTCTTCCATGAAAAGGTTGATGCATGCTTATGATTCGCTAAAATGTGTAGGCACAGAAATATTCACTGCATATACGACAGCTTGCAGAGTGCACAAGCAGTGCGACCGTTCGCGACCAGTTGCAAATGGTCGCGCGACCGCTCCTAGTCGCCGGTGTGCACCAGCCTTAATTTGGTTTAACTGTACAGGGCAATCGTTCTCTCAAAAGTGTACAATTGTTTTGTCCAAATGCGAGCAGTTACTGACCTTGGCTGCCATGAAACTTGACATATCGAAATTTCTAAAGTCAGTCAGCAAATATGCATTCTATCAGAAGCTGTGATGATGTCATAGAAAATAGACAGCAGAGGTAGCACTCATTAATACATAAAAATGAGGAACACTTTGGCAATGTAGCGTCATGACTACGACACTGAAATGCAACTATGTGTGAGATTTTCAAGCTCAGCATGCTCCTTTTACAGTGTGTGTCTTCCATCATGGCTGTGCCGACAGAAATTTCACATGGCACTTATGCGTTGTAGGTATGCCAAGGAAGTGCGAGATAAATTGGCGCACTACTTCGTCACAGACGGTCAGGTGCCTTGGCAGGACAAAGTGGTGAACAGCACTTGAGGCGTACAAGGTGAAGGTGGGTTGTAAATGCATTTTATTGCTTACAGAACTTATGTACATAGCATCTTCTTAAGCTAAACAAAGAAGAAAAAAATCACCCGTGACACAACAGATACATTACAGGGAAAACTGTCATGTCCAAATATAACCATGAAAACACAAAAATAAATAATTCATGTTAAAATATTTGAGTTATTGCACGGTTATCGCTATAATTATCACAGAAATAAGTGGCCTTAAAGGGGTCATGACACCCAATTTTCAACCATAATGTGTGTTGCATGAGCTGATTCTTGTATGTTCACATACAAGCTGGTGAAATTCGAGCGATTTGGTCAAGCTGCTAATTTTTAATCGCATATTTTTATAAACGAGCTAGTCGCCTGACAGTTGGGCAATACTGATGCACTCACTATCCATGACATCACGAACCGCTTGCTCGACAAGCTGCTGCACAGTGTGCATTCTGGCAGACGGTCGTGTTTTGTCATCAGCTGCGTTTGCAATCAAATTTTTTGCATTGTTGAACTCTCCACTAAAGCTAAATGACTTCCAGGGGTCGAAACATGGCTACTGTGTCAGCAATGTAGCGTTGGTACTTGCAGCAAATAATTTCGTGAATGTGCAATGCGTATACCATTTGCCACTGCTCCTTCGGCTTGTGACGTCTCGCACGCCATGACAAAATGGCGGTCACTTGTGGTAGGTTTAGTTTTAGGAGCCGAGCACTTCTACGGCATATTTTTGACTAAAATAATCTCTTAAGGCCCCTTTTCACACGTGTACTAGCACATTTTACTCTGTAGTTTTGTTTTTTGCTGACAACCGTCAATTGTTGAGTGACCAGTCATGACCCCTTTAAGTTAGGACTAGAAAAGTGAACACAAGATAAAAAAGGTGGGTGTCATTGACTTTATATATAAACACTTCAATTTGCTTCACTGCTCTGATGCAATTTTGCCTCTGCTTCATACAGCATAAGTTCTACTGCATGCATTACATCTTGTGCAATGTGCACTGGTAGCTCTCTGAGGGGTGCATCGGTACGTAGAGCGAAGAAACCAATGTTATCTTTTTTGATGACCCCCTTGTTCGCTCTGATGTGTTCAAGGTGCTCCATGCACGCTTGCGCCACAGCTTCATGGCTTGTGCCCTCTCCTGCATTGCTGCAAAGCAAGTGTGAATTGCGATTCATGCAAATGCTTTAAGGTTGCATTGTTACTTCATAAAGCACCATTTAGCAAAAAAAACAGTGTGAGAACGACAAAGTAGAAACAGAAGAAACAATACAGAGCACTGACTTTCAGCTAATGTTTGTGATTTTCGGCACTAAGAAAGAAAAAATATAGAGCAACTGAAGCAAATTAAATAGCACACTTAAAAGATAAATGTGTCAATAGGGCGTCTACTTCTCTGTGAGAAATAAATGGGCTTTTGATCTTTGAAACGGACACTTGTGTTTTGGGACAGGATGCTGATGTTCTGATATTAACGTCTAAATATTACGGTAGTTACATGGGTTCTGTCTACCTTAGTATAAATGTGTCCACAATAAAAACATCAGTTTAAAGTCTGTGCTCTGTCCTGTTTCTTCTGTTTCTACCTTGTCGTTCTCACACTCTTTTTTGTTACTATGTCTGTGTACCAACTTGACCGAGCGTTAACCTTATAAAGTTTTGTGTTTTGTAGCATGCGCAGGATTGTTAGAAAAAAATCTGCAAGTTTATCCTCTAAGAGTTAGGGGTATATCTCACCTAGCGCCCTTGCAGGTCCGTTGTCGTCTTGACGAGCGTGACCTGCAGTGAATTATACATATTACTTAAATGTACAGAAAGTGATCCTTTTCGAAAAGTTGTGGTTGTGATCTCTTGCCAGGAGTACCTAAAATAATTTTTTTTGTTTACACACCGTTTTGATGGTGGCTGCTCTCTTGAGGTGGTTGCTGAAGCATCACCGCAGGAGGAGACAGTATTATTATACAACTTATAAAGTGTTGCAATTGCATGTAGCAGAATCTGGTGTGAAAAATTGCATGTAGCAAAATCTGGTGCATGTAGCAGTTCAAAATAGGGCAGTCCGATTCATTTCTCGTAATTATAATTTCTCCTGCAGCGTAACACAACTTAAAATGGATTATTCATTTCAATTATTATCCACTCGCCGCAACATTTCTCTTTTATGCCTCTTTCATAAATACGTCAATAGCACTAAAATGACCAGACTTCCAATTGAACGACCCTCCTATTTATCAACTAGACTACACAACCGGCTTAGTTTCTTGCGCATGTACGGCAAAACGAACTCTTTTAACGCATCCGCTTTGCCTCGTGCCATCACGTTGTGGAATGATCTTCCCGATAACTTGGTATCTGACACTAACCCTGTTTCCTTCCGCAACAAATTGGTCTTACATTTTGGTTGATAATTTTATGTTCACAGCTTCGTTCTTGTATGTATATGACATTCATAATGCTGTGCAAAAAGTTTTTTTTCTAATGCGCTTATTGCCCCCTTATTTTTTGTGCTTTATTTTTGTTTGCTTAGGACGAACTGTTCACACTTCCTGTAAGCGCTTTCATGATTTTCCCAGTGTATTATACCACAATCTGTGCCAATTTAACTTACACGTATTGTACACTTCCTAACTGCTGCGTGCCATGAACTGCATCTTTCTTGTTTTTTGGTAACGATGTATGATGTCAATTTATACTTACTTATTTCTTGTTTATTTGTTACTCATGTCTCGAGCTTACGTTTTGGCACCTTTCGCCCTTTACTTGTTGTACATGTCTTTGTTAGCCCCCCTTACTCAATGCCCTAACCAAGGGCCTGTAAGATACCTGTAAAAAAAAAAAAAAAAAAAATTAGGCACATTCTTCAAATGTGCTAGAACATGCATGTTTTTAAGATTTAATAGATTGGCTATCTATGCATGCCCTTCATTTGTCATTACTTAGGTGGATTCATAAAGGTTTTACTCATTGCTGCAGGTGTCGACACGAGTCTCCTCAGCCGTATCAGGGGTACGTTCCGGTTCCGCTGCATGTCTTGGCCGAGGCGGTGATCTGCAGTGATTAAAATTTCTTTCTATGTATTGATGATGCCGCTAGTACATGAAAAGTTTTAGGCATTCTTTGGGAGTTAAAATGCCATTATGATTTCGCTCAACACGAAGTTTATTTTACACTTGCGTTACCTCTTGATTGAGCACTGCTGTATGGAAGGTGTGCATACAGAAGTTTATTGTGCCTATTATGTTAATAAAATGCTATGTAGGCTGCACATCTAAATGAGAACAAGAGATATTGTCACGGAGATGAAGTAAAAGTAATTGCAGCCTGTTGCTGATGAATACTTTGCTTTTTCAGAAATATTTGACGTTGTAAAATAACCACATTCACACAGAAACAATGCCTGTGCCCTCATGTATTTCGGTGTGCTTCTGTTCAGTGTTGAGTGCTGAATGTATTGAAAAAAATGCAGTGGTTTGGGCAAGCTAACGACCTGAACACCACCTTTCAAGCACGCTTGTATTTTTGATAATTTTGCAAAGTACAATCACCTAGTAATAAAAAATAATGTTTCTAGGTTCAAGTCCATGCATGTACAGCTTCAAGTGCATGCACATGGTACCGAAAATTTTTGTGCATGCTCACCTCTCGTTAGCCTCTTCTGCTGTGATGTGGCTGCTGCAAGAGAACATGCAATATGTGATTCTGTCAGTGCTATTGTGTGCATCTTTAGAGCATTTTCACTGTTTTGCTACAATATAAGTACTTATGCTGCATTCTTGTAATGAATATGTGCAATGCTTGTCTATGAACAGCCTCATGACACATGCAATAAGCGATCTCTTTAGATTTTTATATTTTGTATTAAGCCTTTCTTTTTTTGGTAAATGAGAGCCGAGAATGACACAGAAGTACACTCAATTCTTTCATTCTTACTGTTCTGTCTTCAATATTCTGTTTTGTGAAGCTGTCCACGTGCCACTTGTACGGTATGCTATATTTTTTGCGTTGTGCTGATGCATTGTGCTATGCTAACCAAAACATTTCATTTTCTGTTCAATGGACGGTAAGCATTATTCATTACCTTTGGTCAATGGCACTCATGTTGCACAGTATCCAGAAAGAATGATGCACTGAGTTATTCTTCGTAGCTGTAGCCACAGTTATTCGACATCAAAACAGCCCATTGCCATCATGTTCATGATCACATGCATGCCCACTGTGAATTACCTCTTGGGACTTCTATGTTTATGTGCAGTGTACTTATGTGTATTGATATGTGAGTATTTATGTGTATGTATAACAGTCATGTGAATTAAATCAACTTTTTTTTTGTTTAGTACTCAATAGTCAGCTAATATTGAACTTACGCCACAGGCTCAGACTCTCCTTCCATTAATTCAAGCATGGGCTCAAAATGGGGCCATTTTATTGTTGGAATGTCGGCTGCTCCGGCTCCACTTCTTTGTTTTTTCACGTATGTCGTGTTGTTTCCTTTTGAAGATATCACGCAGGTTCTTAAATCGTTTCTCAAAAAGGACACCTGAAAACAAAACCCTTGCTGTAAGAATGTATTGTGCATACTGTATCGCTGATAAATTTTCTACTTTATTTCAGCACAATTGTGAGCGGTCTTTATTTTCTTTGCCCAGATCATTTTGGCTGCAGCACCCTAGAAATCTGAATATTGGGCAACAAAATGAATCGCATGCCATCTAAACTTAACTATTGGTAGGGGCTTAAACATTGCAAAACCACGACATGATTGAGGGAACCTGCAGCCGAGGGTTCCAGAAATGCTACCCACCTAGTGTTTTAGACCGTCCACCTACATGTGCACGACATCACAGCTGACGCAATGATTAGTTGCGCAAAGAGTTATGTACACTGTTTCTTGAAGGTAAGCATGTCTGCCAAGCTATTGTAACAAAGAGGCTGTTTATACTGTCGGAAATTGAAGTTCACTTGCAAAAAGCCTATTTCATGAACCAGCACATGATGTCTTTATCACCTTCACAGTGAAGCTTTCTAAGCATTACTGCATTGCGCAAAACTCCACAGGTGAGTATATACCATTGGTATCGGCCAAGCGCAACTGTCGTGTACAGCGGGAGCGATTGTTGTCAAACAAAAGCAAACATGTTAAATAACTTGAAAAGAAGAATGAAACTAACTAGAGCAAGATGACAATTTTCGAGAGAAAGAAATGCAACAAACATAGTATATGACTCAAAGTGTAACATAGAGAGAGCGAGAGGAAGGAAAATATAAGAAAATAAAGGGACCAAAACATGAAAACATACCAACACATAGAAGCAGACATGAAAAATTGACTTTAAAATATAGGAACAAAGAAAACAAACAAAAACGAGGCACAGTTGAAAGCGGAGAGATATAACCTCGGGGAATAAAATATAAAGGCACCAATAGACAAAAACACAGGAGAGGAAAGGAACAGTTGTGAAGAAACGAGGATTAGATTTGGGCCACATTACAGAGGAATAAATTCCCCCATCTGTGCTTTCCTTCAGTGTTCGCCCAGCCACTAGAACACTACCATATCTTTTTTTTTTTTACGATTGCATGTCATTTGGCATCAACAGCATGTCTGACTCCCAAATCCGGACATTTGAGAGTGCTGCTAAACATGTTTTTCATGTTTTAATTACACGCTCCTCTGTGGAGTGCACAAAATGCGCTCAAAGCAGAAGCTACTTTGCATTCTTCTTTAAAGCAGCACAACTGCAATGCATAGGCAAAATTAAAGCATAACCCCCCCCCCCCCCTCCCTCACCGCGCACTAGATATTATGCATTGCAAATGCCGCACGTTCACAAAAGCACACATTCCGTTCGCCAGACGATGACGTACAAACACAGCAAGGAGCATGCGCATGTGAGTTGGCAACTGCGAGCAGTATTTCGAACGTCTGAGCTTTATGATCAGCTATACAATGTTCTGTCACGTCGATTTCGATGTTAAACTCGGGAAGTCGCGAGAACAAACATGCACACAACTGCGCTCGCATACATCACAGTCAATACATCTCATGCAAACTAACCATGTAACCTTGCAGTACAAATACCAATATTTTCATTGTTCATTCATTGGCAACGCCAGCCATGCAGTACACACCTGTTTTTGCTTATATAGCTACTCAAACAAAAATCTCGGTACTTACTCGACATGCCGAACATGCTTCGATCTGCCCAAGCCCGGTCCTTCTTTGTCTGATCTTTAAAAGAAGGGTGCCGCTTGTCATACAGATATGGGTACATTTTAGTCGCGTCGATGAGGAGCTTGGCCGACTACCCAAAGCTGGCCGTGGTGGCATTCGCCTGATGCGAGGAAGAATCCATGGAGGAACGTACGTGTCGTTCGTACCTCACGGCAGTAGGCAAGCGCAACGAGGAAAAAAAAAACATACGAGGAGACCGGATGTAAACAAAGACTGACGTCACTTCTGGTCTTCGCTGATTGGTTAAACTGTTTTGCGACTGCAGTCGCGCGACCAAAAAATCGGTCAGGAAGCGACTGGCCTAAACAGTCGCTTTGCGACCGCTTGCGACCGTTCGCGACTGCTTGCGACCAGTCGCAAATGGTCGCGCGACCGCGACTAGTCGCCGGTGTGCACCAGCCTTAAAAGTTCGACACCTGGGTATTCGGGGCCAAAATCTTTGTCGTCTCCGACCACAATCCACTCGCGTACCTCACTCAAGCTTCACCACAAGGGGCCAAATTTATACGTTGGGCATTGGCTTTGCAGTGCTACGACGTGGTAGTGCAACACAGAAAGGGTACAGCACATGCTAATGCCGACGCGCTTTCCCGGCTGACAAACCAATGCTGGGAGGAGGTGCAGTAGCCTGAGAGCCCCGCAGCGGCGATCAGTGAAGGAGGGTGAACGAGTGTTATGTGCCACGGGACTAAGTGATGGATTTATGGTGCAAGCATGGCGATAACACTTCAGAATGATGATGGATCTTTTGAACATCATACAACAGTGTGTGACAATTACCAAGTGTGGTGGTGTGAACTGCGTGCGGTGTCTGTTTGCTTTTACGTGCCAATATTTTTTGTTGCGTTCTTTTATTATGTTGGGTGGAGCAACAGCGCCCAAATGTTCTGGGGCATGTGTTGCAGTGTGTGTCATCTTAATGAAAACTCTTGCAGAGTGTTCAAAAAAATTGCCCACGGCAGGGAATGTCAGATGTTGCATGCATCATAAGCGTTTGGTGGAAAGGCGTGCGGAGCGAGCGGCTCTGGCATGTTTGGTCGGAGCTACTAGATACCGCGTTTCAGCCGCATGATGTTTGGAATAGGCTCGCTATAATAAGAAAGCAGGGCAGCTCACTAAGTAGCTTTGTCATGTCAGCTGGTGCTGGAGACTGGTTTTTTTCATTGTTTTTTTTTGAGCACCGAGACCAAGTGGGGCTCTTGGCGCGCTTCCTTGGCAGGAGAGAATTTGCGCATGCTGCTGCCGGCCAGGTGCAGCGTGACCACTGCGTAGTGGGTGGGACACCCCAGCCGTTGGCAGTAGCTGTTAACCCGCCGTACACCCACTGGTTGAGCGCGGTCCGTTTTTTTGTGGGTTTACTTCGGCAACACTGTAGGCAAGTTGTTGCGAAGTCTTGGATGGGGGGTGTAGGACCACGGTAAAAATCGGTAGCACGGCAATTTTTGTGTGCTTTTATTTGCTTTGTGGTGTAAGCTTGGGAGGGCATGCCAGCCGCGGGCAGCCAGTGTTGCCTGAGTGACAAGCGGTCAAAGCGCGACCGACCGGTTTTGCCGCGAGCGCTGACACAAGGCCCGTTTACATTGACCGGACGAGGACTCGTTGAGTCGAAATAAACAGGTTTTCTGGACTCGCCCTCCCCATGTATAAGCGAACGCGTCGGGGTGGAGAATCGTCGCGGCGAGTCCCGTCGACCTGGAGACAGGGGGTAGGTTCACCGAGCTCGCCGCGCTCAGAAAGGGCATGTATAACCAGTCGCGCTGAGTTGACGGCTCGTGACCTCTCCCGCCCGTCGCGGGCTCCGCTTCCCCTGTCCCCATCACTCCGACGTTGCTCTTTCTCTGTCGGCCGGTACGCGCGCGCTAGGCACGATGACATCCTCGCGGGCTCCACGCACCATGTTGACAGATGATGAAATAACGACGTTGCTAGCTTTAGTCAACGAGAAAAAACTGAGTGATTTGCTCGATAGCAAGCGGCAAAATATAAGGACATATTCATGGAACTGGAAAGATGTTTGAAGGAACAGGGCCTGACGTGGACGTGGGAGCAAATAAGGATCTGTTGGAAGAATTTGAAGAAACGCTTACGTAAGCCGATAGAAATTTTACTCAAAAATGATATTGCATTCCAATTGAAATTACAAGCCCTCAGTTTGAAAATTCGTCATGTAAGGATCTCACTGTCCAGTCCAAAAGCCACAGAAATCAGATTAGCCAAACAGGGTGAGCGTATGAGGCAAAAGGAACACGGTGCACTTAATTGTGGTGGAACTGTACACTTTGTTCCAACAATTGATGAGGGTCTTTAGTCATTTTCATTCAAAAACTGCTCATTGCTTTCAATTTAAAATTTTCAACGAGGTTCAGGGCACCGCTTAATTCGTATTAGTGACAAGCCACAACAAGCGACAAGACACCAACACAACCACAAAGTACAGCTGGTGCAAACTGAGAAAAAATACCAAGACAGCCATCGCGGTGGCGGAGCGACAACTGCGTAAACAACCGCAGCCCACAGCGCCGAGAGGCGAGAGCGCAGGCTTGGAGGAGAGGAAACCGGTACCGGAAGACGGGCTTTCGGCTCGCCTCGACACAAAGCGTCGCTGCGATCACCGCTCACCCCAACTCATCGGTGCGTGTTCATATAAACTCGGGCGCGTCGAGGTAAGCTGAACCCGCCACTCAACTCAGCCCGCCCCGTCGCGTCCATGTATATGTGCCTGGCGCCGTGTATTACACTGCTTTGTTCAACGCCAGCGACGGTCAAGCATTTCGAGTTGCCATTAACTCTAGGAAAAGGGAACCAACCGGGCAACAAAAGGGGTGAAATTATAAACGTCATTGTGACGGCCTCTAATTGCCTCTCGGAACAGGCAGTCGGCGCATCAACCGGCCTCTTCCGAGACCCTGCGCACCGCGGTGACTCCTCGCATCGGTTCTGCGAATGGCCCGGCTACGTACTGTTTGCGCGCCTGCAGAATCGGCGGCGCGTGTTGCGAAAACTCTGAAGTCACTGACGACCTTTTCTGCCCGTCCGGCTTTGGTCCAGTAACTCTCAGAAGCGGGCTCGCGACACGGGAAATGGCAACGGCCACCCTTTCGACGCCTGGGTTGCCTATTATTGAATCAGGCATGTCTTCGACTGCGTCCCCGTTTATCTGGGCAAAGGAACTCGTAAGCAGAAATATGCGCGGTCAGCGAGCGGTTCCTCGTACGGCGCACAGAGGCAAGAGGATTATAGCCCTGTCGTCAAGAAATTGACGTGGTAGTGGGAAATCGCCCTACGGCCGCCATATCGAGTACGGCTAGTTCTGTCTAGATAATTGTGCGCCGCGAAGCTGGCCCTGGCCTCTCTGCTTTCTCTAGTTTTGTTTTATTTACGTTTTGGTTGTTGTGTTGTGTGGGGAGAGTGCATGAGTCCCACGTGCACGAAGGCGGGATCCTCGTGGCGTTTTTTTAAATCTACCCAATGTACTGTCCAATCAAAGGACAAGCAAGTGATTATGTGCCGAGAGTGTGGTAAGGGCGGAGCGCCAGGAAGGGATAAGAAGAGGCCACGTGGCTCCGCCGGGGGTTCTGAACCGAGCTTGCGGTGTTAGGCAACATTGGCTCCGCCGAAGCTCGTAGGGTCGCCCTACAGAAGTCGGTTCATTTCCAAGTTGTTTTTCTTTTTTTTGTAACATTGATGTCCCTTGTTTTGTAAAATCTGTAAATACAAGATTTTCTCAGTCATCTAGAACTTCTTCAGCGTTGCTTCTGCTTCATGGTCAAGCGACCAGCAGGCCAATAGCCGCTATTGGAATAGCAGCCTACGTTTCTTCTCCCACTTTGCTACACCACCGCGGGTGGTGCGCCTTGGGCGCCGAGTGGGGAGAAGTGGTTTCTTCTACATCGAGAAGAGAACCTGATTTTACTCAGATGAAGACACCGCTCGCTACCTTGTGCTTAGGAAAGGGGAAAAGGCATGTAAGAGAATGCAAGAGAAGAAGAGGAGTTTGGGACAATAGAAAAAGCAAAAACAGGAGCACTATCCAAGTACAAGATAGCGACAATGTCAGCCAATAGACAGAGTTTATCTCTCAGTGCAGTTGCTTGTAGACATCGCTAAAACTCCCTAAGAGTAGCTCGCTATGCAAACCAGATAGACCAGGGCCCCAGGGTTCTGTCCTCTCTAAGGGCATGATTTTCCAGCTGGCTTGGTGCAATCGAAAAGGTTGCTTTTTCTTTGTTGAAGCGGGAGAAGTCACAAAGAAGGTGCGTCCCTTTTTCGCTGCACCTGCATATTTGAATGACAAACGGGCGTTCAAACCTGTAAATTACACAAGGAGTCGGTAATTTTTGTAAGCTTACCCCTTAAAATCATTCAGGCATATTTATTCATAATCATGAGTAAAAGCATTGACATTTTAAGCAGCTCTGTCGGTTCGTGTGTTGCCCGTTGTGGCCAGTCTGTCCACGTTATGTAAAAGTAAGAAATATTGCGCAGTGGGCATTTTGCAATGCCATTCGCAGTAGGCATCCTAGAACAATTTGTAACTTCCAATGTTTCACGCACAGACGTTCCTATCCTTGTGGCATGATTTAAGCATTCCCCGAGAACAGAGGTGAGGATAGAAAAGTGAAAAGCGATGTGCATGGTGCCCGATCACGCTGCCGCGCGTTCTTCTCTTTAAGCTCAAGAGTTCTCAATATTTACACTAATATTGAATTGGCATAAATTTTAGTATCAGATAAACAGTGGACGAGGTGCGTATAACATTATTAAAATACCAGCTATAAGCAGGAGAGTTGTGGCACAATCTTTTGTCCGTTTGTTTAAAAAAATTGGCTCGAATGTGCATGTTACACTGCAAATGTCTTCGAAAGACGATAGCCATGCGTCTGGAGAGAGTGAACAAAACGTTTCTTTGACGCTCTGGGCAAGAAAGTCGCTAAATGGTATTCTGGAGGTGCTGCGCTAAAGTGCCTCGAGCGCTTAGCAGAGACGAACGATTGCATTCAGGCACGTAGACACGAGTGCCATCTGGCAGTTATTTTCGAAAACGAAGGCGTGCGCGCACGCGGAGAAAGACGCGCGCCAGCCTATACAAAATATAGACTTGTAGTTATGGTGCCTCAAATATTCACAATATTTGCTTTTTATTGACAATCGCACAACT